GTAGGACGCGTTGGCGCTAACGCTGCAAACCTGGTGGGCACGTGATGTGGTTGTTGGTGCGCAAGATCGTGCGCACTGTTGGGTTTATAAGGTGATTGCAAACAAAGTCCACGGAATGATCATGGGTATATAAGGGAGGACAATTATTTTCATTGGCATGAGGCCTTTTGTGTGAACCAAAAGCAAATCTGTGAAGGTTATGCCCAAAGCGGACAATATCATACCATGTTAACAGCATAGGGCTCATGACCATTAACAAATACCAAGAAGGGAATATATTAAGAAGATTATTAATAATTATACTACTTTATTCGAATACAACAATATTTAGAAGTCGGAGTTCAAATGCACGAGCTTTTTGATCTCCTCTCCCGTTGGGTGAGGTGCCCCGGTCCATGAATCCTCATGATCCAGTAACGACGGATCGATGGGCCCAACAACAGTCACACGGGTTAGGATTGTTCTGATTTTATCGGTATTCGATCCCGTGATTATCGAGCTTGGTGTACATTTAACGAAAACTAAGGAGACCAAACCAATTGAAACTAGATTCAGGTTAACTTAATAAGTATAGTATTCAACAAGAGTAATGATGCAGATGTGGTCATATAAAGTATGATCATGATGCCCTAAAATATAGGAGACATGAAAATCTTATCGACATGATTGAAACATGTCCAAGTGAATCGACTAATCCATCTCTAAGCATGATTGCTATTTCATCATATGCTTATGCTATACATGTTTTATACGAAATTCAATTTCAATTAATGGTAGTTGCATTTATTAATTGGTAGGGCAATAGGACACATTCGTAATTACAAGCTCGTGATAATAAGTATGATCAAATAAAAGGTAATTTGCCTCGTGAAAAACATCTTTTTAATCTTATAGTTTGTGTACGAGTGAAATCCCAATAAACAAAATGTTGTTTGTTCGGGCTTATTTTTCAGTTTAAATATTATTTTGATCTCTATAATTTCGGTTTTGGTTTAGTGTTGTCTTTGTACTTTATAACCTTCTATTTTGATCTTTCTACTTCTAACTTTTATCCCTGTTTTAGTCTCCGTACTTCCAAAATGTCTATTTAGTCCATCTAGTTAAAAACGTAACAATTTTGGTCCCTTCATATTAATTTTTATCTCATTTCTTTAGTTCCTAATTTTAGCATGAGGACACTTTACTTACTAAATTTCTTGAAATTTAGCTATAAATATGTATTAAAAGATTTTCATTATGTATACAAATTGGTCACTGTTATACTAAGCATAGTTCAAATGGTTAAGGTATCTATCTCTAACCAACATGATTCTTCTCTGGTAGATAATGATTGAGGAACTTAATTTTTCTAACAAAAAAATTAATTACTTATTATTTTATCATGAAATTTTTTTACTTTGGTAAATTTGATTAAGGAGACTTATAGCTAGTTTTAAATGTTAAACTATAAACCTCAGTGACTTTGTTGTGTGAGATTAGCAACATTACTCTAATACAAATATAATAAAATAGTTCTCAATTTCAAGTTAAACAATACACATGATCAAAATGACTTAATGTTTGTACATGTTCAGAACATTCAAGGATATTGAAATAAAATCAAGAAAATTTGTTCACAATGAGTGTTGTGTTGTTACATAACTTATGTAAAGAGTTACTCAAATTTTGGAGTCTCCTATCTCTAGTCGGGAAATTTTCTAGTACTACATTAGTATGGATATTGCTTCCAATAATTGCCAACCAACGTTATTTAAGAATGACGTGGGGCACTATAGAAATATGAAAGAAAAAAAATAAAGCACACTTTAATTTATATAAAGTAAAGCTAAAATATTCAACAAAATAATTCTCAAAACGTTAAATTAAAACTTAAAAGTAAAGAGACCTACTAGACACCACATTAACAGTTTAGGGACTTTTTAGACATTTTTTAACTTTACCACTCCACCACCATAAAATAAGAACACCTCGATAGGACTACTAGTTGCTTCATGAAAGCCCTAGTTTTATTGTGAGCCAAAAACCTCAACACATCCTATAAAGAGAAAGTCCCTCTCGAAAATTACACCCAACTTCCGAGATCAGAGGTTTAAATCTCCATCGTACTAATCCAATTATCGTTTAAGTAAAAAAAATTAATAAGAAGACTAATGTAGCGATTAGGGCTTTCTTGGGGGTTGCTTTCCATTTGCTTACATAGCTGTAACGTTAGCCCTTTTCTCTCATTACCGTTGCCAAATAAAATGAAATAAAAAAAACAAAAAACAAAAAACTCCATTGCTAAACCCCACAATTCCTTGCTTCCAAGTCATTCAACGCATATCATTCCATTTCTCCACCTCTCAATTCTCACAATCTTCGATTCTTTGTTCAACAATTCCAGAGAAATTTTCAGCTTCAGCTTCATCTTCAATTCAATTATGCTCGACATGGATGGTTCCTCCAAGACCCCACAGATCTCCGAGATGTTTCAGAAATTCGCCCTCGCTTTCAAGACCAAAACCTTCGAATTCTTCGCCGACGACGACGACGCTGCTGAAGAATCCGACGGCTTTTCGCTCTTGGACTCCGCCGAGGAGGTCATTACGGACCAGAAGGTCGTCGTGATTAAGCCGGATTCCGCCTCCCATGAGGTGGGGGAGCGTACAGGAATCGGGAAGAGGCGGAATCCAATCGGTTGTACGGAGACGATTCAGACTCTGGTTTCGTCGATTTTCGCTACGATTTCTTCGTTTGAAGCTTCTTACATTCAATTGCAGACCGCTCATGTTCCGTTTGTTGAAGACAAAGTGACGGCGGCTGATAGAGTGTTGGTCTCGCACCTGCAGAAGCTTTCCGATTCCAAACAGTTCTATAAAGATTATCTTAGAAATCCGGATGTGAGTACTTTGGTTCCGGCTGGTTCTTGCTTGGAGGCGCAGGTGCAGGAGAATCAGAGTAAGCTTCGAACACTCGGCACCGTCTCGGACCGGGCGCAGTCGGAGATTGATCGGAAGGACTCTGAGGTATTGGCTCTCAGGAAAAAACTAGGGGATTTGCAGAAGTCTAATTCCAGGTTATCGAAGAAATTATCTGTCAATTTGAATTCGTCTTGTGATGTTTTATTGTCTGTTAGAGTTTTCGATTCAATATTACACGACGCCTGTAGAGCAACATACAATTTTACCAAAGTTTTGATGGAATTGATGAGAAAGGCTTCGTGGGATATGGATTTAGCTGCCAATTCAGTTCACCGCGAGATTGCATATGCGAAGAAAGCGCATAACCGGTATGCACTCTTATCATATGTTTGTTTAGCGATGTTTCGAAGTTTTGATTCGGAAGTATTTGGTGTGGGTGAGACTGAGAGTGACAGAAATAACATTTTCCTTAAGCAATTACTCGAGCATGTTTCGAGCAATCCAATGGAACTGCTAAGTGCAAATCCTCAATGTGCGTTTTCGAAATTTTGTGAGAAGAAATATCAAGAACTTGTCCATCCTACCATGGAATCATCAATTTTCAGTAATTTGGATAGGAAAGAAGCCATTCTGAATTCATGGCGGTCGGTTAGTGTATTCTATAAGTCATTTGTTAAAATGGCTAGCTCAGTGTGGATGTTGCATAAGTTGGCCTTCTCTTTCGATCCCGTTGTCGAAATTTTTCAAGTTGAAAGGGGTGCAGAGTTCTCAATGGTATACATGGAAGATGTCACGAGAAGACACATTCCGCCCTTTAAATCCAGGGCGAGAATCGGGTTTACTGTGGTTCCTGGTTTTAAAATTGGAAAGACAGTAATCCAGTCCCAGGTCTATCTAGAAAAACACTCTACTCTTGGTAAAAGTTGAGAAACAAAAGCTTCCAATGAGATTTTTTTTCGAGGAAAATGACTTCGCCTCTCATGTTATTGTTTCGAAATCCATGGAGGTCGGAATTTGCGAAGTTGGATGCACCACCCAAGCGTAAGCTTAAGCTCATCACTGCTGGACATGGATAAACAAACTGCAACCTCGGCAGCCACCTTGTAAATCTCTCTCTCTTGCTCTCTTTCCCTTACTGTGAGTATTGTGCAGGATCAATTCTATAGAGCTTTTTCTCCTTTCAAGTTTATCACTTACTAATATACATAACCAAATTGTGTATCTATAACAACTGATTACAGTCATCATATCATGATTGCTTAATATTCTGTTTCCTTCAACTTGTCTTCTTGAATCCTGTTGGGAGAGATTCCTTTGCTGCTTTGCAACTTGTATACATTAGCAATGGAAATAGCTCATTTGTTGAAATTTGTTAGTTAATGCTATGGAACATGTTCACATTAGCAATAGAATTAACTCATTTGTTAAGACTTGTTAGTCAATGCTGATGCACAATCTCTGATTATACCAACTTCATCTTCCTTTATTTTATAGTTCAACCACTAGATGTTGTTTGGGAATGGTTAAAAAACTGTTCTTGACTTTTTAGAACAAATATTTTGTTCTTTACTGCAGAAAGTAGGTTTGGATAGCGACGTTTTGAAAGTCGTTTTTGTTTTTGGTTGAGATGTTATCAGATTATAAACCTAAACTTGAGAACAACTTTGATGTGTTTGTAAGAACCAACCCATGAACACAGTTTTACTACTCACAGCTACAACTTCAACAATGGCCCTCATTGCATGTTCCATTTTCTACTGGCTCACATGCCAACACGAGTTTAACTCAGTGGTAATTATTACTTATCCATGACCTTGGTCATGGGTTCAAATCCCTGTCCTCACCTGTTGTACTAAAAAGAAATAATTTTCTACTCTGCGAATTTGTTGCTTGTTTTTTTTCCAGGAAAAGAAAATAGCAGCCAGTTTGTTCCTGTTATCATTAGAGTTGGATTCATCCCAGATTTATTAGAATGTGCTTGAGCTTGACAGCAATTTTTGTGGTGTTTCACTTGGTTCTTTCACTGCTTGTTCTGCTGCTCTTTGTTTCTTCAGGGTAATAGATTGCATAAGGAAATAAAGACTTTTACTACATTTGTTCTTGGTTGAATTCAAATCATGTTAGGTAATTTGGGGCTCGTTTGGTAGGAAATCCGAATTTTGTTTCTTGTTTTCAGATTATTCTATGAATATCTATTTGACTGATTTATTTTTTAAAACTGTTTCTGGATCGGGTGATTCAAATGGTAGAAAATTCGGAAAACAACATTTTTATGTTTCCTGTGTTTTCGTTTTTTTTATTTGAAACTTTTAAATGCAAAATTACATCTAAAAAAAGATTAAAAAAATGATATATATACTATTTCATGTTTTAACTTATTTAATTTGTTTTAAAAAAATTAAAATATATATAATATATTATAAAATATATAATATATAAAGTTAAATGATCATGAGAAATATAATCAGAATAACACAACTCACGGATCAGAATTTCAAAGAGATTTTTATAAGAAAACTAGAAATGACACCATGAAAACTTCATTCTAATCCAAGATTCTACGCCCTTGAATTTTCAAGAGTTCCATCTCAAGAATATAGTCTGAAGAAAGGTTTCAATTCGGTCATGTGTTTAAAAAAGTGACGTAAATTGTATATTTATTATTTTCAAACTATATGATAATTTTTTTTCTATTTTTATCTCTCTTTCTCTCTCTCCCGACACTCCCGGCGCCGATTCATCCTCTCTTATTTCTCTTCCTCCTCTGGCCACCGTGACCAGCGATGCTTGAAGAATGAAAATTACAAGAAAGAGTATACGATGCCGATGCGGTGGGAGTGTCGTGTTGGAAAATTAATGATCCCGTATCAAAAATATCTCCGGAGATCCCAACAAAAGCCCCCTATCTTCTAACACAATTAATACTTAGTAACAGAAATGAAAAACTCACCAATATAATCAAGATACTGTCACAAAACCTGTTGCCAAAAATCTCAATTTGGCTGTCCCTAAAATTCTAACGGCTACTCCCCACAAAACATAAAAACTCATATATATATATATATATATATGTGAGTAGGTGAAACCTAAAAATAAATGTTTGGATTTTTTTTTTTTGCCCATTATTTATTTCCACTCATTTCTTTTTATTTATTTATTTTATTTTATATCCAAAAAATCCCAACGCAATGGATCTCGATGGCGCTAAAATGTCCACCGCAGCCGAAGAAGAAAAGCGGAGTAATGAGAGAGAGGAAGGAGATGACCATTTGAGCCCCTTGATCTTGAGGCTCTGTTTTCTGTTCCTTCCAGAAGGGAAGATTGTGTTTAGCTTTGATTTTTCTCTTTAATTTTGAGTTATTTGTTGGAGTTTTTCAGGAATTTGGTAGTTTGGTTAGCTTGTTCAACAAAATTTTGTTTTATAATTTAAAAATAATAAATATACAATTTACCATACTACGTCAGTATTCCGTTAGTTACACGAACGGAATTTAACTCTAGCGACCTTTTATAACTATTTCTCGAAGGTCAGAGACCATAGGAACCAAATAGAAACATACGTTCAAACTTAGAGACTAAAAATTTATTTTACCCCTAATTTATTTCATCGATTTTCTTTATTTTAAATTATATAATTTAAATAAATTAATGTACTCATGGACTAATAAACAATTTTATGTAATTAAGTAAATTTATATATTGTATTTAAATATAAAATAAAGTCCAATTAAATTATATAATATCTCCATTTATTTTTAATATTTTGAATAAATTATTATTAATAATTTTTATTGTCTTAAAATAAAATCTTTTTAACTAACCACGAACAAAATTTGATATTTTAAAATATATATATATATATATATAATTTGATAATATAATAAATAAATTTCAAAATATTAAAGTTTGAAAATGAAATTTATAGTTGACATTAATTCTTTTAAAAAACTCTTATAATTAATTTGCTCTACTAAATAACATGCAAGAATAAATCATGTAAATTAAGGCGTATAAAGAAATGCTAGACATCTAGGCATCTGAACATGTCATGCATACTACACTACAGGAAAATTGTTGTTCAGCGATCAACGCAAGAAAAGCGACGAAAATGATTATTGTCACTTCGAAAGCGACGAAAGAGTAATTGCATCGATCAGTAAGCAACGAAAAGTTAATTCATCGCTACGCGCTCCAACCGAGCAACGAAAATGTTTCGTCACCCGCTTTTGGGCGCTTAACAAAAAGTTGCGATAATAGTGAAAATGTTTCGTCACTCCCACCTTCTAGGCGATAATAACGACATGTCTTCGACGACAAAAATTGCAACGTTCCGCTTTTCGTCGCTCATCTCAATCAACGACGAAAATACTACTTCAGCAATGAAATATTTTTGTCGTTGAATGTCATTTTTTTAGTCGTATTTACATTCAAAAAAAACAAACCGTCCCTGAAAGTTAAAAATTATATGCATTGATTTAAAAAGATAAAAGATTCGAAGCAAAGCTATAAATTTTCGAGAGAGAAACAAGATTATACCTTTTAATCTTTTAATTTTAAAATTTTTGAGCGATAAATTAGAGAGAAATCTTTCCTTCTTTATTGTGCATGGTGAGAATAAGGAGCACGAGGGTTCTAAGATCCAAAATGCTCACTATTTTGTAATCTAAACATGCATTCAAAAAAATTTACTAGAGAGAAGTTTTAGAATCGCAAATTATGTGTTCTCAAACAAAATATTTATGCAAATTAAATGGGGTTAAAAACAAAAATTATTTAGACTTTGAGAATTCATTATTTAAAGATTACATGACGGGTTGATTTTGGCTACATTCAAGGGTCTGGTGGGGTAAATATTAAATTGATTGACTTAACAACAAAAATTAATTAGACATAAAATTAAAAGTTTAGGGCTCGTTTGGTAATTTTGAAGAAAAATGAATTGCATGGCTCCAGCATCCAATAATTCAAGTACGGTAAGACAATCTTTTTATTTATGTTTTGGAACAAATTGAAAATGAGAACGAGAATGAAGAAATTTGTTTTGGTTGTTTCCAAAATTTCTATACAATTTTGAGAATGTTAAAAAAAAATGAGAAACAAGAAACATAGTTGTAAAATGCTTAAATTTCTTAAGAAAATTGGAAGCGATAAACAAAAAACGGAAACGTTATTAAAGCTCTTAGAATTCTATTGAAATCTTTTTAAAGTATAATTACTAAATAAACACAAGCTTACCCATTTAGAGAACCTATTAGAACCTTTTGAAGTACAAGATTTAAATAAACACATTTGTGATCAATAGTAACTGATAATTGAAGTAATTATTAGTAAGCTAAAGGAAAAGAAGGAATAAGCTAAGGCTAAATATACGTTTTAGCTCCAAATGTTTGGATTTTTTTCAATCTCTTATATGTTTTAATAATTTTAAATTGTATCTATTATGTCAATGGACGTTAAAATTGGTTGATGATAAACTTACCTAATTTGATACTCAGTAAATTGACATAAATTTAGAAGAGAATTAATTAGGCCACGTAGCAAGCAAATTTTTTTAATTCAATCCTCCTTAAAAATTCTAAAATGTTGATACAAAATCTCATTTTTCTTCTTTTATGTAATCTAGTCTCTTCTCTAAATTTCTATCGGATATCAGGTAAGTTTATTATCAATAAATTTTAACATTGTAAAATTATAAAATACTTAAAAATAAGGGTTTAAATTGAAAATTTTCAAACCAAAAGAACTAAATTGAGAGGAAAAAAAAAACATAATTATCAAGACCAGAACATATACTCAACCAAATAAAAAGTAAGGAAAACTAAAGAGGAATGTGATAGGAAAAAGTTTTAAACATCAATATCGATAAAAGTACGTATCTTAATTTTATGAAAATATTATAAATATTGATAAAATATCGATGAGTATTTTTTAGAACTTATAAAATATCGACATATCGACAAAAATTGAATCGATAGTGACATTTGAATTGAGGTGAAATTAATGTGACAGAAATTCGTGGATTGGGTTTGGATTTGGGGAGAGGAAGAGGCAAAATTCATTAAATTTTAGCAATAAAATCAAGCCGCATATCTGGTCCAACTCGTTCAATCAGATACGCAAACCTTAATTATTATGTACTCTCTCACACTCCAATTTTTTTCTCGTATTGTTCTTTTCTTTCTTTCAAAAAAGTTGAATTATTTCTGAGAATTGTGTATAATTTTTCAAATGTCTAGTATATCTAATTAAATATAATCTTAAGTCTTAATGTCGCTGTCATAACGTCGATCATGTTTACTAAGAATATCAATCCAATAAACTATGGTAAGAGAATCGATAAATTAACTACCGCTAACGGTATGAAAAGTACCGACAATGTCGAGATAAAAGATTAATCAAAGAAGTGGGCGATTAGAGGTGGATATAAGAAATCTTTTGACTAATATTTCAATAATGTTTTTAAGGTTAGGAATTAACATTGAGAGGTAATAAATGAGATGTGATTGTTTAACCAATACCTACCACAAGAATGGGAGTGCCATCAATGGTAGTCATTATAATATAGAATGTACAAAAATATTTTAAAAGATAAAAGAATTAATAAAAAAAAAAAGGTCAATTGACACGTGAGAGCCTATGAAATTTAAAATCCAAACAGAAGTAGGTGTAATTACTCAAGATTTTGTGGATCGAAATTTATTTATCATGGAACGAGTAGATGTTGTTTGTTGATCGTATATATTAAATGTTGTAGTATTGCACTATAAGATATTGGTGCAGTGGTAAGAGGCTTGAGTGTTGACATCGAACATCTAAATTGAAGTCGTACTGTATCTGAAAAAAAAAATGTTCTAATATTAGATTGGGGTGATTTAGTTATTAGCACAATTTTGCAAGTTATAATTGAAACTTAAAAGAGATTTTTATGACAATTTATTTAGCGATTTTGAATATTGAGTCTCCTAATGTAGTGAAATAGTGGTAGGATTCAACGGATGGAATAACATTACAATGTTGAATTTTCTCTTATAAATTTTAGAATGGAAACTCATATATATATGGCAAAACAAGCTCCCATAATTACAAATATAACAATATTA